TTACCCCAGGCTTTTCCCTTGTCCACAAAGGTATACTCTGCATTTTATATTGTGCCATTTTTCTGCTTCTGGTTCACAGTGTGACCCAATAAACTCACTGCTCTCTGATACCATAAAACTTCTGTGAGTAGTTTGCAACATACTCTTTTTGATTAATGGCATAAATGAAAAAATACATTTGGACTCCTCTGGTAGACACAGTGCTCTGTGGGGGAATTTCACTGCCTAAAGGACATAGACTCATGTTCAAACCTGTGTCTAACCTTGCGATGTTTTTCAGTTGCTCAGCTTGACCAAAGATAATCAGAAAGAAATATTTGTGTTTTAAAATAGGTAAATTTGAACAGCACTCAAAAGTTTTTTGAGCTCCTAGCAGGAAAACAGTAGGTTCATATGTGCTCTGTGAAAGACTGGCAGACACATACCTGATTTCCATAGACAACCTAGTGCTAATGACAGCGGGTGATAAAATCAATCAAATAGAACAATAATTCCTAATGAACCAGTTTTACATTTCATTAACTTGAGTGCCAAGGTAATTCTTAATGACTGATTTACTTTGTTTCTTTTAAACTCTCATGAAGAATTAGGTAATTAGGAAAATAAGGTCTAACAGCAGCCTAATATAACTTGAGCCTGCAATGCAGTTTGTGTCTCCAGGTGATGAGAAACGTGTGGACTCAGTAGCACCTTGGACTGAGGACTCCTCACGGCCCTTGTCTGAGATGTTGCTCAGCCCACACATGGACAGACAGCACAGGTAGACACCATGCCAGGCTCTTCATCAGTGGGTGTGGGTCAAGGCATCTCACTCCTGGCCACTGAATCTTGTGGTTATTCCTTCTCTGAACTGCCATTGCACAATTTTGTGATATGCCCAACACAGCAATGAAGAGGAGACCAACCTGATGCTGACATTGTGCTCTAACTAGTAATTCAAAGATTAATTGGGTAGGAACTAATACAGTTAGTCTTGATTATTTTTACTGTCCTTAAGCGTTGCTTGCCTTAATTAAAATTCTACTAATTTATTTTCATCAAGTTTAATTCTCAGTTAAAATAAGAATAGGAATATAGCTTCCTTTGGGAACACAGGATTGCAATGTGAAACAGTCACATTTTAATACATACAGGAAGGAAAGTTTCTCTGATGCAGAAGCTTTTTTTCAAAGGAAAATGTATATGGCACAGAAAGACACTCATACATATTTTACAGAAGTTGGACTACAATTAACTCTGTTAGTCTAAGAACCTTGAAGTTTAGGAAAACCTAAACTAGACTTGAATTTTGCAGCTAGCAATAAATTGTTATTAAAGTGTAAACCACCTGATACTAAAGCACCTAGGCTTTTACCTGTTATTAAATCCAAGCTTTCTGGGTCAATTCTTGATCTGTTCTAAAGGTCTCTGTGTACCTGCTACAAGAAGGTATGTATACACACACATATACATGTTTACCAGACTTGTCCAACTTTTCATTCTGACTGAAGTCGGTGAGATATTTGAAAGTTCAGAGGCTGAACAACTAGATACAGTTGTTCAGCCTGAATGCTATATCAAAATCTTTTGTGAAGACAGGGCTTTATTGACTGCAAATGCCTCCTGTGGGATTTACCGTACAATGAAACTAGTATACTATCTAGTATGAGTATCATGCAACTTGCATTTGCTTCATTAAATTCCCTTCATCTTGTACTTTTATTTTTTATTAAAACTGTTAAAAACATTATTAAGACTACATTAAACCCCATTATTATTTTCTTAGTCTATTTCTTTACATTCCATAATCAAAGAAGCAGACAACTGTATGTTACAGGTAGAATTGCTCTTACTGTGTGTAGCAACTGTTCCCAAACCAAAGACAAGGATGTGGGCTCCTTACAGACCGCCAAATTGAGTGAATTTTAGCTGGTATCCTGGGAGGAAATGAAAAGTGCAATCAAAAACCTACTGACACTGACTGCTGATCCCTGATCCACCTGCCAAGGTAGCAGTGGCAGCACATGGCTGCGGTGAAAACAGGGACAGGACTGCTCCTTTCCACAACCATGTCCATTTAGATCACCGTACCCACAATATGTCATTGCATCCTTAAGGGGCAGACATTTGATACAGCTGAGCCAGTGGGACAGTTCTGCCTTCAGCATCCCAGAGTGCCTGGCCCTGCAATGTGCCTCCCTGCACCAGCTCTGCCAGCATACCTGGCAACATCTCCAGGGCCTGCTGACCTCTCTGAAAATAATCTCAGCAAGAAACATCTTTACGTTTCTCTGACCTGTTGGTGAGTTGAGAAAGCTCATTTGGCAGCGAGGAATTTCTTTCACTGGCGGAAGGGGCTGGACTATGAAGGCAAGGCAAAGAGGAAAACAGGGAGGTGGCAGTGGAGGAGGAGAAAGGAACATCCTTGTTTTTTTTCAGCAGAAATTAGAGCAGCTCAGCTATGACACCTAACCAGGCCAGAATTATCTATATTTTATTCCTAGCTTAAAGTCAGAAGTAATTAAGATCTGTTTTCAGAACTATTGTTGAAACACAAATAACACATATACAGAATTTCACAAACATGAAATAAAAATACATCATATCTTTTGGGGAATGCTGGCATATAGAAAAGTCAAGATCCACACTTTAAAATTGGGGTGGGTTTGGTAGTGCCTAAACTATTACCCAGACAGCTTAGGTCGAAGCAGTAGGGAGATACTCTGATGCTTGAATTTCCCCCAGCATCTGTATCCCTCTTATATGTGGGTCACATGTCAGGATTGTTCCAGTTATTAGTATAGCAGATCTGCAGTTTTCCCTCCTAAGTGGCAGCAGTCACTGGTGAAGGTTGGCTGAATTCAAGCCTAGCTGGTATCCCTGCAGAGGAATGGCTAAGCAACTCTCCCTCTTGCCCTTCCCCACTTATTGTCCTAGGAATTTCCAAATGAATACTCCAAACTGATCAGTGACAGCTCCTAAGAGCATTTTGTGTCAGACTGAGAAATAAGATTAAAAGTTTTCAGTTCCTAGCTGCTTAGTTGGTCTTTGCTGCTGGCCACATTTTCAAGAAACAGGTTGTATTGCCAGTGCCTCAAAAGGAACCTTCTCTGTAAAAGGATCAAGGAGGGAAAAAAGAAAATTTGAAAAGGATGGCCAAAAGCAGCTTCTGCAGGTGAAGAAATGAGATGATGGAGAGATGGAGCAAAACACACTAAGGATAGAAGATGTGGCTTGTGATAATGACTCTGCTTCTGATTCTCTTTGGAGATCAAAGTAGTTTTGCTCTCCTTGCATCTCCCTCCCCACTGCCAGTCTTTAGAAAGCTGTAGTATTTTCAGAAATACTTTCATCTTTCCATTTTCCTTTCTGCCACAGTCTGCCATCTACTTAGAAGCTGTATTTCAAGCCCTCCTCTGCACGGTAGAGGAGAACTGCACTGACCATGTGAAAGGTGTGAAGAACAACAAGTTTGATGCATCTGTGGTCTTCCCCTCACTGTTCTAAGAGGGGAACTGATCTAAAATTAGATCATGTCAATAGAGACTCCTGTCTTTTTAATGATTTGTCAGGGAGATATTCTCATTGAGCACACAATATATACCACATGATGGCACACAGTATATACCCCTAAACCTAGCTCTCCAACAGTGAACTTTCACTTTTTAACATTAATTTACTAACAAAATGTGCACCGGAGCAACTTAGTGATTAAAATAAGTCTATTGAATTATTATGCATTACTCCATTCATGGGCCATATTCTGCCATTCTCACTAATTTGGGGTAAATAATTTATCCTCAGAGTGTTTTCATTAACTGCAATTCATCTTCCAGCTATGGGATTGCAAGTAGCCTGAGGTAACCATCCACAAAGGGAAAGAAAAATGAACCTGTTCCTTTTTCATCATATCTGACAGTAAACTTGAAGCAGATACCCTTATTCCTTTGGGCTGTACTTTAATATATTAATTTTCACACTGAAAATGGTGATGGTGAGATGCTGTCAAGTGGCAGTCGAGGGTGAAAAAAAAAGAATGTGGTGGTCTAAACGGTGACAGTGAATATCTGCATCCGGAGTGAAGAAAGTATGCCAAGATCTTGCCTGCTGCACAGGAATAAACATCTGGGTCTTTGATCCCTTAGAGACTTTAACGAAGTCAAGTATATTAGGGGCTGTCGCATGCTGCTGACGCCTTCTTGAAAAGAGATACAGTCACAGGTACTCTCTCTGCCGGATGGTAAGGAGACAATCTATCTCTAACAACACCCTTGGACCAAGTACACCCTGCCCTCTTTCGGCGAAGCATTCAGCGGGACCGCTCCGCTGGCATTCCCCGCCGGCAGCCGAGGCGGCCGGGACACAGAGATGCTGGGCAGGGGCCAGCCTGCACCCGCGGCCGGGACACGGGGCGGGCAGGAGAGGCTATGGGAACTTTTGGGGAATCGTGGAGGTGCGGGGGGCCGCGTTACTGAATGGGCATTTGAGACCCTTCTCTCTCTTCCTCCATTAGCTCCGGGAGGATAAAACTGGAGAAGTTACTCTGGAATAAATAACTTTGTATTTTCCCATGTGTCAGGAGGCGAAGCTTTCGCAAGACGGACCCTTCCGTCTCCAGGCTGCCTCTTTCAAAGCGTCGGGCAGCCGCCTGGATGTGAACGAGTTCCCACGGCAGCATCCATCACCCGTCAAACCGCTTTTATTCTCGGGTGAGAAACTCGGAGAGGAGAGGCGGGGGGCGCGGGCAGCAGCCGCCAAGTGGCTGTAGGGGCCGCTTGGCACAGGGGAGCGCAGACAAAAGCCGGCGGAACTACGTGGCTTAAATTCAAAAGGGGCGCTTCGGGCTCCGCCAGGGCAGTCCCGGCCCGGGGAGGGGGCGGGAGCGGGGCCGGGGCCGCGGGGACGCGCATCCCGGCGGCGGTGCGGGGGGCGCCGGGCGATGGGCGCGGGCGGGGAGCGGGACGGGCGTGCGTGGGGCGCAGCTCGGAGCCCCCAGCCCCCGCCGCCGCCGCTCGCTCGGGGCCGCAGCAGCTGAAGCGGCCCCCCCAGCCCAGTCCCGGCGCGACGATGAGGGGCATCCCGGGCTTAAAGAGGCTGCGGCTCAAAATCTGGCGGCGATGCGCCCTGCTGCTGCTACTCCTCTGGGCTGCCTGCTGGGTGGTGGTGAGCGCTGCGCTGTTCCTCTTCCACAGGAGCGTCTTCTCCGAGCGCTGCACGGACGAGAAAAGCCACCGGATCCTGGCCAGGCTGGTACGTGCCCCGGCGGGACGCGGGGCATCGCCCGGCAGGACGGGGTGCCGGCGGTCCGTCGGAGCCGAGCACCCGCTGCCGGCCGTGCCGCCCTTGCACAGCTCCGGCCGCCGGAGGTGCCGCATTACCGGCGCCCCACGGTGCACACGGGCGGGCGGTCGCCTCCTTATCTCCTTTCCTCTTTCCCTCCCTCTTTCCCTCCCTCCCTGCTTCCCTCCCCGAGGCGAGGTCAGGTGCAGGCGGCGGGCCGGATCCCTGGCGTGGGATGCGGGTGAGCTGCCCAGGCTCTTTGGAAAGGGCAGCTCGGCATGCCACACGCTCCGGAGCGGGGGGAAACCTTTCTCCGGGTGTTGTTTTTTTTTTTTTTTCTTTGTTTGTTTGTTTTGTTTTTAGCCGAATATGTCTATGGACAAAAGTCATCTTTCAAAAGTGCCAGACAGCTTGTATCGCCTTCTTTATGTCTGGCGTGTAAAGGTGCAATTACTCAAAATTCAAGAAAGAATATTCATTAAAATTTCCCTTAGAAATAGTAATAAAGACATTTAGGATTGTGTAGGAAACACTTTGAGAAGAGGAGCAGCTTCGGTTAATGCTTTGAGTTTAATTTTGTTTCTTAATGAGGGTATCTGTACTGCCAACGGTTAGGTGGGAAGAGAGGAATCCTAATGGGAATTAAATAATCTATTATTGCAAGCAAGCAAAAAGCTGATCATAGATTTCCTTAATTCTGTATAATGAAGAAAGTGCAAGTATAGGCAGTGGTCCTAACAGAGTGTTTTTAATGGCAGTGAGTTCCAGTTTCTTTACCGCAGTAGCCAGCTTGAAGTATAGCTGAGCTCAGGTTTGCAGCTGAAGGAATGATTTCTGCCTCCTCTTTACGTGGTTGGGAAGATCACTGAGATATGGAGAAGCACGGAGCCGCCAAGCTCAGGGAGGTCCAGGTCCTTGCCATCACACTCGCCAGTAAGGAGACGGACTGAGACTTGTTGCTGTTCTTCAGTTTGGAGACGGTTAGGCACGCCTTCAAAAGCCCAGGCAGGGATCAGATTTCAGGCGCAAGCTTGGAAAGTTGTCTCTATTCACTGAGTGATAGCTCAGTTACAGACCCTCCTTCCAGAGGAAGAGTAGCTGAGGTTGCTGTGCTCTTCTGTCTCTGTAGGTAAGTCTTCAGTACTACCATTAAGGTTTGTAAAGCAACAGTTTTCCCAGATGATGTTAGAAAGGGATTGTCCTTCTAGTGGAATAATTAGAAAATGAGCTCATCTTCATCAGCCCCCAAATAAGTCTTTCGACATCTTCTGAGCAAGGCATAAGTTTTGCAGTTATAAAAGTGCAATTATCTATGAAACAAATAACCCAATAATTTGAGTCTATTAAGCAAAAATCAGCCTCTAAGAAAAACTATCTTTCTAGTCATCTGCCATATTTTCAGTAGGAGATTAGATGAGCTCTTTTAAGCAAGTTGGTGAAAATGCCCTAGCAAGTGGCATTTCCAAAGGGTTTATTTCCTTATTCTGAGTAAGATGTACATCTCTGCAGATGTGTACTGCACTGACAAGGCAGAAGTGGCACAGGGAATTTTGCATAGACCAATTTGAAATCTCAAAAAAAAAAAAATCACTCTTTCCTAATGCCAATCTCATCTTCATTTATACTGAACACACTAAATCATAGCAATCAATTTCTGTTTCCTCTGGAGAAATCAATTAATTTTGATGCCTTCCAAACCTGGCTCAGTATTGCATTTACACAGGAGAAGTACTAGCTAATAAGGCAGAACATCAGTCTCAGGCCACTGATGGTGGTACAGTGAGTTATTTAAATTTATATAAATCCTTAGCAGGGTTTACATTAATTTAAGCTTTTATTTTAATTTAAACCCAGCTTTTCCGAACTTATCTTGATAAGTGCACTAAGGGCATTAAAAATTCTGTAGCCAAATTTAATCAGAAACATACAAGCAAATCCAAACCATGCTTGTGTTTGCATTTTTCTGTAGTACAGCTGCTTCTCTACAAGGATTTTGGCTTGGTGTCACTTTCATATTTTAGTTTTAAAAATCTGGCACTTAGTGGCATTCAAAGGGCAATCATTAGGTAGATTTAAAACTGTCTCATTGACAGATCTCAAAATGCAGTCATTAAGACAGGGGTGGCAGCATGGAGGACCATTTCTGAAAGATTTCCCTGGGGAATTGATTCTTCTTTTTATCAACAATCACTGTGATGAATTACAATCTTGTATAGTGAAGTTTGCAGTTAGTGCAAAGGTTCCTGGGTTAATAAATAATAAATCTGTATCACCTGGTTAAATGTTTTCAGTCCACCAGAATGTGTTTTAATACTGTAAAATGCAAGCTAATGCACTGGGGAGCACAATAGTGCTATGCCAATATGATGGAAAATTGTCTTGTAAAACTGTATGTCTTTGGAAAGGATGTAAGGGTCAAATAATTGCTTCAAGATGAACTACCAGTGCAGACTATGCCTAAAAGGCATAGATAGAAAATATCTATGATAGAAAACAGTTCAAACTTCTTGATTGCTTACTTGAGGGAGCCTTTTTGAAATCCTTGCTTGCTTTGGTGATGAGCAGAGAATGGTACATCTGGAAGGCCGCTCTGTGTTTCATCACTGTGAGACCATGAACTCCTTGATCAAGTTTTCTTCCACATATCCCAGTTTGCAAAACGCTACACAAGGTCATTGTAAAGAATACTATGATTTAGATACTCTTTGTCAGATACTAGGTTAATAATAAAAGATTTATAGGTTAAACTGAAAAAACAGCAGACAAGTCCTAAACAGCAACCAGGTTCAAAAAGGACTTGTCTCCTATGTCTGTGAAATGTGAGACTGCTTTTTCCAGAACTACTTTTTGTCATTAATGTGATTAAGAATGACATGATGTCAATGCAAGAAAATAAGATACACATTTATGTATTTGACTACAGGTGATGGACATGTGTTCTAGATGTAAGAGGTATATGCATGTGGACCCTCTAAGAGTGAACTTGATGGACCACAGTAAAACTGTCCATGGGGGCATGTGTTCACCCATGTGAACCCAATTACATGACTAAGTCCTAAATTCTCTTGCTGTAGCAGAAGAAAGTTAGGTTGTGGTCTCTCAACAGAGTTTTAAATGTGCTTATACTTACAATCCAAACAAAACCCCCAAAATTCCTTCTGTTTGTAATTCTCTTTCTAATATTGCTTAGAGTTCCAGATGGTAAGAACTGCTAAGCTACTTTTGCTAAGAAAACTATGTTTCCTATTTAAAAAGGTAGAGTAAAATTGTATTAAATTCATAGGAGTGGATTTTCAAAAGCAGGAGCATTGATCTGCATGCTCTGAAGTCTGCAGACAGCCCAGTGAGTCTGCTTGGCCATCCTGATGTTGATGTCGATGCAGATGCGTGTGTGATTCACATGTGTGGACTCAGGGTCAGAACACTCATGCAAGAGTTTGCCTACCTGGCTCTCCTTGCTGGCAATGACTGTTCTTATTTGGCCTGTGAGAACATCAAAATATAAATAAATTTTATGCCTGTCTGAACTGCCCTCAGGGAGCTGTTGCAGTCAATTTATTACCATTCTTGGATTTTGGACTTAATCCTCCATCCATTCCCCTGTGTGTTGTTTAAGGTTGAACTCCAAATGTTGCTTGGCATCAGAACATATTCCTCTGGTGTACACACCTCATAGACTGTCCTAAGAAAATAATTCACTTGAATGTTATGATCATGTTCTTTGTGTATGTAACAGCAAGTCACAAGTGAGGTGGGGCTCAGGCAGCCACTGCAAGTTCTCCACATGCAGGGGGTCCTGCCATCTTGTTTAAATGAAGGTTCAAATGCCAGAAAGCAGTGAAGGCAGCTGACACTGTCAAGCTGCCTCCCAGATGTTTGGCTTTCTACACCACCTCGTCTCTTCCCCTTTCACCAGAGACCTCTGATCATCCCCTCTACTGATTCACCCAAAGCAGTCCCTACAGCTGCACTTCTGAATGTCCATAGGAATGTATCGACTGCCTCCACTTTTGGAAATGATATCATGGAAACAATTATGGGTTGAGGGAAGGACTGGTGAGGGAATCCTTGCAGTTCTTCTATGAATTTGTAATGACCACTTAACTGTCAAGCAGCAGTTTCCTTGCTTCCATGGGGTTATTTCTTTACAATTACAAAAAAAATTAAGTTTCAAGCAATTAATATTAAAATTTCACTTCTGATAATTACATATAAAACCCGAAAAGTCAGTTTGTTCTGCAGATTATTGTTTTAATAATAAAATGTATTATATATTTTAAGATTCTGAAAGTTTTTGGTCCAAAACGCATTGAGAACAACCTCTGTGTTTCCTGGTAGTGCAGGAGGAGGTTATACAGCTTCGTTCAGGGCATGTTGAGTGCAAGGCTGAAACATGCAGGACTGTGGAAGATCCCAGAAATTCAACTAGCCATGGATTTTCCTGTAGTTTAAGTGGAGGTCTAATTCGTGCTCCCCTGAACCTTCCAGAGAAGCCTTGCATTACTGTGAAAGTTATCTCCTGTGCCTTAAAGTGTTACAACCCATCATCTCATATAGCACAGCCACCTGTGTTTAAAGTTTGTCTCGCTGAACTCATATGTGTAAAACACTTCAGAGTAACAGGTCATTTAGTCCATTTCCTCACCCCTGAAAATTCTGTCCTTTACCATCCCAAGAATCCCTGTTTCGAAGCAAGACTCCCCTAGAAAAAGGTCTCTAGAGACTTCTGAAAAACCATTAAATGACCCAACGGCTGTAGAAGGTGTGTGTTTGTGGTTCCATGACTGCTGCAAACCTCTTGAGCTTAGGACTGTTGCTCATTATCTGTCTTTCTTCTACGTGGTCTATGGGCATATGGTTCTGCTATGAATATTCTGCTCTTTCACTCCAGTGTCTTGACTACAGCAGCGGAGCCCTGACTGGTGACCTCTGTGAAGACCTGTGCGTGGCACAGAAGCTGGTGTACAAACACTGCCTTTACTATGACAGAGGTAAGAAGGTCATTCAGGCTGATTGGAGAGGCCAGCCCATCATACTGAAATCCAAAAAAGAAGTCTTTTCCAGCTACCAGCACCTCAGTATGCTGGAGGAGGTGGAAACACAGGATATACCTGAAACTGAGCTTCTGCTGATGGTAGCTTTGGAGGTCAAAAATGCCTTGGGGCTAGAACTGTCTAATAGTACCATGGGACCCCTGTGGACAGGGAAAAAGGGACCACGTTGGAAAGCACAGGTGGCCAGCATGTGGTCCTTGCTCCAGCAGGAAGAATATATCTACTTCAGTTTGCTGCAGGACTTCAGCAAACACATGCTACGAATTATTGGCTCTTGCGGACACTTTTATGCTGTGGAGTATCTCACAGCTGGACATGCCTGGCACAAAACTCTTTTTCCCTTGGAAAACGTGATCGGTCCCTCCCTTATCGGACACAAAAGCAGGGTGAGAGCCATCACTGACATTGCACTCAGCTTTCTGGACATGGTGCAGCATTTTGATAATGATTTCTCTCACCGACTCCACCTGTGTGACATCAAACCAGAAAATTTCGCTATCAGGCACGATCTTACGGTAAGTTACATCTTTGGGATGGTGTTGCAGCAATTTGAAGTCAAAGTCTAGTCTGAAGGTGGTTGTATAAAAATGACACTTCCCTCCTCGTACAGCTTTTGGCCAAGGTTTTGCAAAACCAATCCATTTACAAGCAACAGGGGAGATCCTCTACTGCTTTTCTGCTTTGCAGTGTGTACAGTCACGTTTCAGAGCACTAAATCCTGCTGCTTGTTTTGAGAACTGCTTGCTTCTGTTTTGTTTCACCTCCTCAAAGGCACTGGTACCGACAGGGTCCCTTGGATATGGTGAGGGATGCCTCCTGAAGGCAAGGGGATCTCAAAATCTGTAAATGAAGCTGTAATTTGAGTCATGGCAACTATTTTTGGTAGTGATGCTGAAAGGAAAAAGCTGTTTGAATTTGAAAACTATGGCTGAATTCTCTGGTCTGACACAAGGGGAACTCCCCACATCCAAGCACGCACATTTGTGTTTCAATGTTCAGCTTATCTGGTCTGGAAGCTCTCCAAAGACAGCGACAGGAAACTTCCTGCTACTGTTAACTCTTTGACTTTTCCTTGCACAGCTGTAACTCAGACCTGAGTAGCTATGCATGTTTTCAAAATAGTGACGTAGCTCAGCACCACATTGCTGCATGTATCTCACATTCTTCTGTGGACAGAAATTCCTCTGATTTCAGTTGGAATTGTGTCTACAGACTGGAGGCGCTGTGCAGTGAGTAAGTGTTTGAACTAGGCTCCCAATTTGCAGTGACATCAGTGGACTTTCTGCACTCTTAGTAAATATAAAGCATTTTCGGCAACTTTAATACTATTTTTAGTACTCACTGAGAGTTAATATTACACTTGTATCTTCAGAGTACTAGATAGACATTGCCTAAACATAGAGCCATTAGGAGCAGTTAGAGTGCTTTCCCTTCACCCTTCTCTCCCCTCCCATTGTTTATTCAGGTACAATACAGCAGCTGAACAGGGAACAAGTGAGGAGCTACAGCAAGAAACTAAAATAAGCTGTACCAGTATTTAGGCAAAGCGAGGTATAGCAGAAGTTCCTCCAGGCAGGCTTTGCCCAGCTTTCTCAGTTGCGCAGGGCTACAGCTGTCTGTGGATGAGCACACACCAGAGCATCTGTTTTACAGCCTTCTTACAGGAAAAGAGATTTCATTTAGGAAAAGAGGAAGAATACTGGATATGTCTTCCCTCACGAGTCTTTTTGGTGAGTCTTGCTTTGCCAGGATCTTCCAGTGACTTCTGGGGTCCAAAGAGACAACAGACATTTTCTGGTATAGGTAAATATGATAATTTAATATTTCCTAGGAGAATTAATTAAGAAAAAGTGAATTGCTGCTCACACATGGCTCTCCCAGTTGTACATTACTTATAGCTTGGTGGTATTGTGCCAACAGACTGAGAGACAGGAGATAAACAGTCAGACAGCTGAGGGTGGGTAGAAGGACAGAGGGTGGGGGACAGGACAAAGAGTTTCTAATCAGTGATGGAGGAAGCAGAGTAAGAAGAAAAATTCTACGTAGTTTTACCAACCAGTTGCAGAATGGGAACAGAGTAAGGCAGCCTCTTTCTTGTCCCTTATGTTTAAGAGATTTTTTTAACTTGCTGGTTTCCTGTGCTCCGTGTAGGAAAATAATAAAACCCATAATAGTACCGCTATTCCTTATTGGAGTAATGAGACCCCTAAAGCCCAAAGAAATGTGCAACAGTTTCACTTTGAGGATTATTTTCAAGTAGTGGGGACAAGGCTCCAGCTCTCACTCCAGCTCTTGCTTGCTCTCCTGCAGCGAAGGAGAGGAGAGGTCACTGCTTGGTAGATCATCCAGGAGAATTTTAAGCTGCCATGGAGCTGCCATAAGGTGCAGAGTTGGAAGGAGGTTTTGGGTGAATGCACAGTGCTCTGGGAGAGCTTCCTCTTTTACACCCACCTCAAAGAGAACTGGAAAGATTACAGCACCTTAAACATGACTTTAAATCAGGTCAGGAGCCAAGTTGGGTCCTTGCTGCAATTCCTGAGGTACCTTCTTCATCAATTACAATCATAACAAACCCCACCAAAATGTAGCCAATCATAGGTAGTGTCACCCAGATCTGTTTTCACGGGGATTGGCTGGATGCCCACACTACATTTTTGTAATAGATGAACTTCAGTGAAGCCACTGAACCCTTTGGCAGCTGTATGTTTGGGAACCAGGGCTGGTTTTCCTAGCAGAGCAATGGATCGAACTGTCAAATGTACTCAGTGCTGGCAAAGACCCCACCTGGGAGCTGATGCAGCAACCTTATGACTGGGGAAACCCTGCACTGCTTTCACAGTCTCTTCTCCAAAGAACTGAACAGCAAAACAGCAGAAAGCTTAAAGAAGTAAAGAAGAAAAGAAAAAAAAGATTTGCCTGTTCAAACGTGTGAAATTCCTTAGGCTATGTCATCATCATAAAGCTCCTAAAAGCCTAAAAATAGTTGAGTTTTTAAGCTATGCCTCATTTTTTCAAAATTTTTCCCTAGGGAAAAAGGACTAGAATTAGACCATGTTCTTTTTCTGCCCATGGAAGGTTTATTTGGGCTTCTACCAAAACAGACATCTTTAGTTCCTGGTGTTGATCCAGTTGCTGTTCCAGTCACAGAATTCAGTTTCCCCTGTTATTTGGGTGGTTGAATCTTAAAAATTAGACTACCATTTGAGCCCAAGTAACTCTGCTTTGCCCAGATCCCAGATATTTTCCTCAAGGAAAATGTGTGTTAGATGCTGCAAGGGAGCATCCCCAATTTAAGTGTGAAAAGCAGCTGTGAACATTCACTGATTGCACATCCATGATGACTCTGGAAGCAGGCTGCTTTCCCTGTGGTCACCTACAGTTTGTCTCACATCAAGCAGCTGCCATCCCCTTACTGAATTCCTTTCCCTCTTTATTGCTGGGATTTTTTTAAGTGGAGCATTCATGGATGGAGTGACACTGGCGGAAACTGGGACTACAGCCCTTTGCTCCCAGAGTGGTCTCATCCCCAGCACAGGCAGCAGTTCTGCAAACCACTTTGTGCTATGTATTCACTGCTTTTTTGAGCCTTGTGTCAGGGTGAGAAAAGTGATTGATCCCTTCAGTCATGTTTTTTCTGCTGTGACCAGCTTCTGGCTGGACTCTGCTATGGGACATATTTCTGGACAAGCAGAACAAGAACTGTGCACCATAAATGTGTCAAACCATAGCAAACAGGACTGGGCAAAGCCAGAACCAGCTTTCAGCGAAGTTAGGGATCTCTTTCTGCAGCTGAACAGACTCAAACCCACTGAATACAGGGGCAGGTTTGCTGGAGCAGTACCAGGTGCAGCTAACCCTGGGCATGCCACAGCTTCCCTCCACAGAGGCAGAGTCAGGGGTTTAGTCTGAATGCTGAGTTGTGAAGTGATACCGTCTGGCCCATGGATGTGCACCATCATATAATTAAATCATATAATCGTATAATTAAAAGCTTGAGGTGCCATCTGCATATGCTGCACCAGCAAGTAAATCAGTTTTCGGGATGAATAGTTCCAGCTTAAAGCAAATCAATCCAATTGATCCCAGGGAGGCATATTGCCCACAGATAATTTTTGCATTCCCAGTGTCATAAACATTGGCTGTTTTTGTTTAAAAAGTGGTATTTATAAGGCTAGTGCGGCTCAGTTAAGTGAAATAAGGCCCTTTCATTTTGATCCCAGTTCCTCACTGGCAGATGCTCTTACACAACATTTCCAGAAGCAAGGAGCAAAGAATGCCTGCTCAGCCCCGTTCTACAGTCTGTGCTGTGCCAGATCTCATGGGTTGTTTTGATCCACAGGTGGTGGCCATTGATGTGGATATGGCCTTTTTTGAACCCAAAATGAGGGACATCCTCGAACAGAATTGCACAGGAGATGAAGATTGTAATTTTTTTGATTGCTTTTCAAAATGCAATCTGAAAATAAGAAAATGTGGAGCACAGAGAGCCAATAACAACTTGCAAGTGAGTAGACACAGCTGTTTTATGCATCCCTTTCTTTTAAAATCACATTGACAATAAAATGCATGATATGTACTAGGAGACTGTGAGATGAAGACAGTCAGGTTTTTAAATGTGTCCACATAAGTATCAGTCCTGTTCAGAAATCTCATCTTGGGGCATGCAGACAGATCTTTATCTTCACTAGTGCTTATCTGCCATGTTTTTATGTAGCTGTTAGCACAGTGCCTCAGACAGGAGAGCAAAGTAGGGGCAGGGAATTAGCATTACCATCTCCACTGATAGTAAAGACACATCCTCGAGTTGCACCTCAAATACTCTGTTTGGTTCTGGGCTCCTCAGTTCAAGAAAGACACTTAAGGTGCTGGAGCAAGTCCAGAGAAGGGCAGCAGAGCCTATGAAGGATCTGGAGAACAAGTGTTACGAGGAGAGGCTGAGGGAGCTGGGGTTGTTTAGCCTGGAGAAAAGAAGGCTCAAGGACATTTTATTGCTCTTTACAACTACCTGAAAGGAGGCTGTAGTGAGTTGGGGGTCAGCCCCTTCTCCGGGGTAATATGCAATAGGACAAAATGAAATGACAAGAAGTTACATCAGGGGAGGTTTAGTTTGGATGTTAGGAAAAATTCCTTTACTGAAAGGGTGGCCAGGCATTGCACCAGCTGTCCAGAGAAGTGGTGGAATCACCATCTCTGGAAGTGTTCAAAAAACTTGTAGATATGGCATTTAGGGCCATGGTTTAGTGGTAGACTTGGCAGTACTGCACTGACAGCTGGACTCGATGATCTTAGAGGTCTTTTCCAACCTTAGTGATTCTATGATTCTGTGAAAGTCAAGGCTGTCCAAATCTCCAGAGGTAACAGGTGATTATAGTGGAAAGGGGTGTCCATAGGCTTCTTGACCCTGGGATGAAGTGTCTTACAGCTCACCCAGCTTGTGTTGCTGGGAGGTACTAATACAACAGAGGGGTTTGTGGAGTGTGGCTTGTTGGCCTTTTGCCTCCTTCTCCCACCCCTTCACCCTCACCACTTGTTATGCAGAATCATAAAATTGTTTAGGTTGGAAAAGACCTTTAAGATCATTGAGTCTAACCGTTAACCCAGCACTGCCAAGTTCACCACTAAATCACGTCCCTATGTGCCACATCTATACATCTTTTAAATACCTCCTGGGATGGAGACTCATCCAATTCCCTGGGCATCCTGTTCCAATGTTTAGCAACCATTTTGGTAAAGAAATTTTTCCTAATATCCAACCTATACCTCCCCTGGCACAACTTGAGGCCGTTTCCCCTTGTCACATTGCTTGTCACTTGGGAGTAGAGACCAACCCACACCTCACTTCAGCGTCCTTTGAGGCAGTTGTAGAGATAGATAAGGTCCTCCCTCAGCATCCTTTTCTCTAGGCGAAACAACCCCAGCTTCCTCAACCACTCATAAGATTTGTGAAGTACAGGAGCAATCTGAGAAGGAGGGGCATTTCTCAGCTAGAGTGTAGCCTGTGTGGATGCTCCTTTTCTATGCCTTTCTCTTCGAATGGCTAGAGGCATTTTGGATTCAGATGACATTTTGTTACAGTCCCAGGGAAACAGCAGGGCATGAGTTGTAGCTACAACAATCTGCTCTTTTTCCTTTTCTCAGGTAATCTGTGACAAAATATTCCGTCACTGGTTTTCCCCAAATCTCAGAGGACCGTTGGTTTCCCTCCCCCTGCAGCTGCAGCTGCAGAAAGCTGTGCAGGAGTGTGCTCAGCCGGGGCACATGGACGCCGCCGGGCACCAGAGGACTCTGAAATCTTTCTCTGAGTTATACCACCTGCTTCAGGTCACTCAACAAGAACTGCAAAGGGCAGAGTAGACACAAAAGGCAGGACTGCAAAGGCTACACACTAGTCTCTCTGCCATCCCTCCTACCCACTGTACATTTACAGCACAGAGATTGCTTTTCTGCTATGCAAATGAAATTCATGGCTGCAGGTGCAGCACATGCTGTTAATGTCCTATCAAGTGTGAAATTGTTTTACATTACCTGGATTCTGTTCTTGCTTATTTTCCTGAGCTAGCACTATACCTCTCCATCAGAATTCAGCACACCATTCACTTACCAAGAGCTGTAGACACTGCATGTCTAAGAGTGGTGCTCAGAGTGAGGATGCATCTACAGAAGAAAGTGTAAGCGCAGCAAAACTACTGTTGATAACTAAAAGAGTGGGTGGGTGTGGATAAGTACATGCATGGTGCTTGTTTAAATTTCTCTGTAGAATGAGGTTTTTTTGAAGTAGGGACAAAGTGCTCTGTGTGATTAAAAAAAAAAAAAAAGGATCCGAAATAGGGAAATGTGTTTTCACATGAGCAAAGAGTTGCTTTTGTACAAAGCAGTCCTGTCTGATGTCCTCAGATGCATTTTCTCTAGGGCATTGCATTACCTGTGCAATAGATAACTTTCTGGGGAGAAATGATATAAAGCTACTTTGGGCTTTTCTAGAGCAAAATAATTATACCCTTGCTGAGTTCCCATGTGGGTACTCATATTCTGCAGCGCAGAGGTATGAATAATGGCACTGGATTTTCCCATGTGAACAAGCCCTCAGGCACTTGTACATCAGAGCACTTGATAAGAAGCACTCCTTTGCCAGAGAGCAGAATTACCCAGGAATGTCAACAATCTGTCCTTTGCACTGAACAGAACAATATCCAGACCCAGAGTTGTCTTCCACAGTATTTTTTTAATGAACAAAAGGAAAATTTTTGTATTAATTCATAATCTTGCAATGAGTTACATAAATAAAGATCCCTAGATTAACTTACAATCATTAACTTTGCCTTTTAAATGTGCATAGCTGGCGGTGGAGAATCTGACACACAGGTTCAGAAGACACTGCATGTGCTTAGGCCCAGTACTGGGCAATGTACCCACGAGCTGCACAAGGAATTAAAAACCCCACAACCAGAAAGCCCAGCAGCCTATGACAGCCCTTGGCTCAGAAGGACTCTTCACTGTTAAGACTGACAATACAGATTTTTGGATGTGAGACATATAACAACACTTAATCTGTTTCATCTTTACATCCATCAGCCTTATGACAGCCATGAAGCCTGTGAGAACTAATTATACATAGACTTATTGTTTCTGGAGTGGTTCTTTAAAGTAATGTTAAAGATTGCCTGTGATCAGAAAAATAGAAGCTGCTTAGGAGACCTTGACCTGCTAAAAATTAGCTCAAATTTTCAGACTAGTGCTAGGTCTATTTTATATTTCTTGCAATAAACTACCATATTTTTAAAAATCATGCAAGTCCTTAAAAAGCTAATAGCAAGAGCAATGTCAGCTGCCTTTCCTGGGGCTGGACAAACTGGTGTTAAGTCAGAGCTACAGCTTAGGAGCTCCTGACTGGTAAAGCTGTACTCAGTCCACACTTCTCCTCTACCCAGGCAGAGAATGTTTCAATACTTTAAGACCATACTTTGCAAAAGTGGAAAGGAAAAGCAGAATAAGAAGAAACATGAACTCTAGAACTAGCCCTGTTACAAAGTCGCAAAACTGATAGAGAAAATAATTAAGGTAAATGAAATAAATTATGGTAAAGGGTTAGGGAAAGATAAAGTATCAGGTAAACAGAAGATAAGGAAAAAGAGTTGAAGGAGAAATAGAAAAAAGAAGTAAAAAATATAGACCCCTTTGTGAAAACATGATTTATGATGCCAGATTGAATAAAGTAGCATTCAGTCTGAAGAAGAAGAGATTGAAGATAAGTACAGTAACTCTCTTCATAAACAGAAAGAAGGTGATAAAAGAGAATAATAGAGAACTGCCCTGTCCAGATTTCCTTGATGGATGTGACCAGCAATGAGCTTAAATTGTAGTAAGTTAAAAATCAGGTTAGACATGGGTTACAGGCTTTCTGATAGAAAGGAAGAGTGAAGATATGGCACAGATCATCTGGGAAAACTTCAAACTTCACAAGCTGTGATTTCTAACTACAAGCAAGAGTGAGCGCCTGTCAGGAATTATGTACATGCAGTTATATTGATGCTGCTGCCCTGAGGTAACCTTTTATTTCCCAGTCCTGTGATTATGTTATTGCCAGGTTATGTTTGTGCTCTCGTGACTCCCTCACAACAAAATCCCCACTTCCGAGACACAAGGAGACATAAGTCTCCTTTATCTTATATGTGCAAATCCATGAGGTCCCCTGAGAGGGGAAGGCGCAGATCTCAAACAGTGCAAATGATGCTACAGAGTCTGCTGGTGTGATCAGGCTCCATGTGTTCCCCACACAGCATTCCTGCTGACTGCACTGCACCTTGCTAGCTCAAGAGTGACTCAGTCTATATCCCAAGCACTGCTGGGAAACCTGAAGATCTTGTACACTATTGCTCTCCTGTTTCTATGGTCCCATTCTTTCCTCCTTCCCAAGCTTGGAGGGTGCCTTCAGGGAAAAGCAAGCATCACACGGACGCTCGGTGCTTTGCAGTGTTATGCTCCACCATGGCAGGGCTCCTCCTCCGATTTTCACGTTTGCATTTGAGACAGGGTAAATTTGTTGGATGAGAGGTTCCACTTTTAAAACAGGTGGACATAATGTAGTGAAATGAAAACTGGCGGCAGTCAAGTGCTGGTGGAATGTCACCGTCCTCAGAAGGTCCTTCTCCTTGCAGGATATAGGAAGGGAAGCTGCCTTTGACAGACTTCTCCAACCCCCTCAGGGCCTGGCTGCAGCCACCTCTACCTGACAGGGACCTCCTTCCCCCACACCAGACTTTCCCAGAACATTAGGTTTCACTTCTTTTCAGGATACAGAGAATAATCCTCAGAAACCTCCCAAGAGCAACACAAACGGGTTATTTGTACTTGGCTGGGCTGTGAGATTGCATATCACTGATGCAGCCAGCTCTGGCTGGCTTTGGTATACGCCTTCACCAGTGAGTGGAAGGGCAAGGAAAATCTGACAGGCTGTGTGAACACAGGGCTTGATTCTTCGCTGCCTGTCCTGCACTTTGTAAAGTCACTAAATCCTGGGAAACAGAAGAGGCAAATACTACCAGTGAAGCAAATGAAATATTACAATTTAATTAGCACAGGTACCGGTGACCAAAACAGGAATAAAAAAGTAGTTGTGCCTTTATGTCCCTGGGGCAGAAAGAGAAGAAAATTAAGACACTGCTTTAGTTGCCATTTACCTTAAGGAGGCAAGTGCAAATTTCTGTCATTTGAGCCCGTATGGTTTTAAAGCCAGGTTTTTTTGGTGCAAATGTCTTTTTTTTTTTTTTAATGGAAAAATTTATACATGTGTGTGACAAGAAAAAACAGGCCTGGTGCTGCCTTCTGATGAAGCCCCTTTCATACTGCTTTGGCAGCACTGCCCACTAAAAATAGCCCTGGTATGAAGACATACCCAGCTGGCCTGTACTGCGGAGGACACGGCCAGGTCAGGTGGGTGTTGAGTGAGAGTGCTGTGGGCTGTTGAAACCTGGGCTGCCCACACGATTTGTTGCGATACAACAGCCAGGAGTGGGAGCCAGGAAATTCTGCAGTGAAACATTCCTGGGCTGTGGTCAGAAAATGAAAAGTTGCCCTAAATGATATCTTGCATTACAGAAGTATTTTTTTAAACATGAAAACTGTCAATTTAAAGTGCTTTTAGGCCAATTTTGAAAATGCTTAACATAGTTTTGTCACTTTCTATTTGGAAAAAATTGCAAGTTATTTTCTCATTATTAGTTACTTCATACTGAAAAAGTTTGCCAAGCAAAAAGACAAAGATCGAAATGAATCGCAATTTAAAACCCAGTGTTTCGTCTGATCTACACAGTGAAGCTTGCTAGTATCTTCAGCTTTTTCTGATGTTTACTTTTGATCCCAATTCAGATGAGAAAACAGACTTTTTCACCTAGCCCTGGTGGTGAGATTCAGAAAAGAGGAGATTCACATATGGTCTTTGAAGGTACCTTTTCTACCCACTTCATTTCTGCATAATGGCCATGCTGTTAACTTGGGCTGCAATGCTTTCTGCTTGGTTTTTCTCTCTTTCAGGTGTCTCCAAAGCACGTTCCTACTGGCATCCTTTGGCTGTTAGTTCACCATAGGTTGTGAAGTCACAGACTGCATAAGATTCTTCCCGCTGTTCACCCCTTCCATATAAAAGATGACTTATAAATTTTCACTGGTAGGATTTGGTTGCACTGAGTGGCCGCTTTAGTCTAAGTTGTCTGTTCTCGTTTAATTGATCTCAGCCCCACTTCTTTGCTCAGTCAGTCTGTTACCAAATCCTTTTTGCCCTATAAAAGTGGCATTATCTCTTGATTAATTTCTACCACTTGCTGCAGTGGTGCCTTACTCAGCAACTGTCTCCCCATATTTATGCCTCTCTGTGAAACAGGAATGGCATTAAGTCATTGTTTATTCCTTCCTTGAATCTCGGTTAGCAGCATGTGCTTCAACTTTGCAATAATCACTGTCTGTTCCCACATTTTACAAGAAGTGAGTCCAGCTGGAGGACTACTTCATCTTGAGGAAATCTTTAGGAGAGATAAATTGAACCCTTTGCTCAAGATTTTCATAGGACTACTTCTTGATTTTCTCTAATTGGCATTCTATGCTCTGCAGAAAGCATCTACAAGCAATAGTCCTGCACTAGGATGATGTAAAACAGAGTAAAACTCCTTGCCCTAAAGGATTTATGTGGTTCCCCTCGTGTTTTGAGGTTGACTTAATGGTAACTAACCCAGAAAAGCAGGTCATTGCTATAACTAGAGGTTTCCTTACAGAGATTATAGTGTGAATTCCTGAACTACCCCTTCACTGAGAGCATTCAGATGCGTTGCTGGAGGCACCACTAGAGATAACAATAGGTATTTGGGGCTGGGAGAGAACAGAGGGAAGGGTTTGTTTTCTTTTGATTAGAAACATTAACTGAACAAAGTACTTCCTAAAGGTGAAAATGGGATCACAAACTTGAATGAGTTAGGCACTCCTCTCTGATTTTTTGTTTCCTT